GTGTTCTCGGGTCACAAATGTGTTTTGTATGATATTTAATTGTTTTACCTCAGAGATAAGATTCATTTTTTATATATTAAATTATTTATATTATATTTATATATATATATATATATCTCTGAGACCCAAAGAATTTTTTTTTTCTGTAATATCCTACATCTTTTATGTTGAATTTTTGTTTTTTACAATTTAGAGTTTTTACATTTTGTTTTTATTTTTACAGTATGTCCACTGTAGTGGACCACAGGACCATTTTAGTTTGGAACAACCACCACTCAGACAACAAAACTTTACAGGATATGGCTGTAGAGGGATATTAATCCAATATTAATGTATTTTATATATATATATATATACACACACACACACACAGTTGAAGTCAGAATTATTAGCCCCCCTGAATTATTAACCTTTTTTCCCCTCATTTCTGTTTAATTGACAGATTTTGTCCAACACATTTCTAAACATAATAGTTTTAATAACTCATCTCTAATAACTGATTTACTTTGTCTTTGCCATGATGACAACATAATATCTGGCTAGATATTTTTCAAGACACTTATAAACACACTATACAGCTTAAAGTGACATTTAAAGGCTTCACTAGGTTAATTTGGCAGGTTAGGGTAATTAGACAAGTTAATCTATAACGATGGTTTGTTCTGTAGACTATTGAAAACAATATTGCTTAAAAGGGCTAATAGTTTTGACCTTAAAATGGTGTTTAAAAATTAAAAACTTTTTTTATATATTTTATTATAGCCAAAATAAAACAAATGAGACTTTCTCCTGAAGAAAAAATATTATCAGACATACTGTGAAAATGTCCATGCTCTGTTAAACATCATTTGGGAAATATTTAAAAAAGAAAAAAAAATTCTAATATTTAAAAAAAACAAAGGAAGGCTAATAATTCTGACTTAGTGTATGTATATATGTATGTATATAATATTTGAAGCGCTGAGTTTCAGATCGAATCCTAAAACACATTTGCAGCCAATCAGTAGTAAGGGGCGTGTCTAGTGGAAATATCTATATACTACTTATGGGTGCTCTCAATTATCATCATCATGTTGGCATTATTCCATGAGTGCACCTTTAATCAATCAAGTGTTTACATCGAGTAGATTGAGTGAAAGTTTACCATCATACTCATTCATCTGTTCTAAACTTTCCTTTAAGAAACATGCGTACGGCAACCAAATTCCCGTTGCGGTGTTGAAAAAGTCTCATCAAGGCTAAAGAGACCCTTCAGAAACTCTTCTGTGCAGCTCATGGTAATTTGTTCCTGTCTGGTGTTTATGGAGAGCGGGATCAGCATCTAAGACTAATATTGATATGACTATATACTCACTCACTGCCTTCAGAACTTCACTTTAGTTGAAAGCTTTAGTGACGGTGCATTTTTTAAGGTTTAAGTCTTATCTGATTACTTTATCCATGATTGTGTTTACAACATAACATCTACTACGGCTAAAATAAATAGAGGCACAATTTTTATATATAAGAAATGTGATTATGTACAGCATATACTAAAAAAAATTTTTTTTTGCTCCATTAAACTACTTATTTAAATTGAGCTGAAACGACACAGTTTTTGAGATTTCATTAGGACAACTTTTTTTTATTTTCAATCCACACAAAATTAAGTGTTACGGTAGCTTAATCAATTTGTGTTAGGACAGTGTTTTACCAGTGAACCAATGTTTTATGGCATATTCAGTCTAGTCCCATGAAAAAATGGTGAGATTATTATGAGGAGATTTATTATGAATTTGTACAAAGCCAAAAAAAATTTTTTTTTAAAAAAGAACACAAAAAAATTATTTGATCAATCCTGACAGCGTGTGTTTTAGGTCATTGTAAACTAAGTTAACCATGTTCTAATTTAGTTTTATAAGTTAAGCAAGTAGTTTTAAGTCAGTTTAACATTAAATAAGTTCACTGGACTCATAAGATTAATTAAATTCCGCTTAAAAATATAAGGCAGCCAGAATGTTTTTGACAATGTAGCTAAATTAATCATTACTGATGTGTATGAAATCATGATAGAAAATTCACAGACTCACATTAAAAGTGCCACATATTCAGCAGTAAAATCATTTGCTGTCATATTATTAAACTACTTTAGAAATACAAACTCCTTTATTTAGTCTTCATTATTTGACAATATCTTTAGAATCGTTGGATTTTACTGACTTTTTGGTTTGGATTTATTTAAAATACAAGTATGGTAAGTGCTTCGTATGATCACTTTAAAATATTTTACTTTTAAAAAGTCAGAATGTGTCATTTTTACATCAATTAAATATTACTCTGAAGGCCGATCTAATATTTTTTCACTCATATTTTGAGAAGTTATCTGAGAACAGGTGTCAAGCTCAGTTCCTGGAGGGCCGCAGCTCTGCACAGTTTTGTGCCAACCGTAATTAAACACATCTGATCAAACTAATTGAGCGCTTAGGCTTGTTTGATATCTATGTATTGAAGCAGGGCTGGAACTAAACTCTGCAGGGCTGCAGCCCTCCAGGAACCGAGCTTGACACCCCTGCTTTAAAGCAAACACTTGCATTTCATATACTTTGTCAGTATGTTTAATCTTTGTAAATGTGTACCGCAGTGAAATGTCCCATTCTATAATAATGGCCAGAGTTATTCAAAATGCCATTTTTGATGCTGTAAAATATTTCACTTTTCAACATTGTGTCCTTGTATATGTCTGATTTCCCAAAAATTACCAAACTGAATCATGTGCAGATTTCAGATGTCGTGATGCTTCAGATGGTTTGTTACACACATGAACACACACAAATTCTTGGATATTTTAACCCAAAAGTTGGGTTGGTTCATATTAACCCCAAAGTTGTGTTTGGATTTGGGTTTGTCCATATTTGACCAAACTTTAAGATAAGAGAGAGTTAACCCAAGAATTCTGTTATTAATTAATCGCCCTCATGTCTTTTTGTGGTGCACAAAGTTGTTCCAGGAGCTTTGAACCGTATAGTTGAACCACTGAAGTCACATGGAATGTTTTGACAATGATTTTTCATCTGTTTTGTGTTTTTTTAAACATCTTATGGCTGTTTCTGTCAATGGAGGATGAGAGAGCTCTAGGATTTCAGCTAAAATATCTTCGTTCGTGTTCTGAAGATGAGCAAACGTCTCGGGGTGTTGGACCCACATCAAAGTAAGTAGTATATAACAGAATTTTCACTTTTGGGCGAACTAACTCTTTAAAACGAGGGCTGCACAATACTGGACACATATACTATTTTTAGTTTTAGTTTTTTTTCAATGTTCATATCAAAATAAACAGGTAACAGATTTTTTTTTCTGAATAAATGTTATTTAAGCGAAAAGGTGCACAAATGTAGACATTAAAACAGCTGAAATTGTTTGCTTTGCTTTATTCATCTTTCTCTGCTGTTATGATTTGTGTTCATTTCTAAGGCTCTATGACGCTGTTGTCAAACTCAGTTCCTGAAGGGCCGCAGCTCTGCACAGTTTCGCTTTAACCCTAATTAAACACACTAGATCAAACTAATTATTGAGTCCTTCGGGCTTGTTTGAAACCTGCAGGTAATGTTGGAGTTGGAACTACAGTAAACTGTGCAGGGTAGCAGCCCTCCAAGAACTGACTTGGACACCCCTGCTCTAGGAGGTTCACTGATGGACTGCTCCAGCCAATAGCATAACAGCACCTACTGTGAAGGTGGGTATAAAATAGTATGGTCCAATGTGATTGGTACAGTTTGGAGAAACAACCTTTCAACACACAAGTACTTGGCACATAAATAAATGTAATTTATCACACCTCTGTGTGATACACATTTGTGTATACTATTATCGTGACCAATGTTAGGTGTAATTATTTATAAAGTAATCAGTTTATCTAATTAAATTACTTATTTTCTGAAAAGCGAATAAGTTTATACCTTTCTACTGGGGCGATGGTTCATCTTCCAGCAGGACAATGACCCAAAGCACATCACTAAATATCAATAGAGTGGCTTCACAACAACTCGGTGAATGACCTTGAGTGGCCCAGCCAGAGCCCAGACCTAAATCCTAAATCTCTGAATCTCAATCCTCTGAAGAGATATAAAAATGGCTGTTTACCGTCACTTCTCATATTAATCTTGACACAATTTTAAAGAATGAAAGTTTAATATCCATTGTCTATACCTTGAAATATAGGGGTGGCAGCATCATGTTGTGGGGCTGTTTTGCTGCAGGAGGGACTGGTCCACTTCACAGCATAGATGGCATCATGAAGAAAGAACATTATGAAGAAATACTAAAGCAACATGTCAAGACATCAGCCAGGAAATTAAAACTTGGCCACAAATGGGTCTTCCAAAAGGACCATGACCCTAAGCATACTGCCAAATTAGATAAAATGTGCTTTAAGGACAATAGAGTAAATATATTGGAGTGGCCATCACAAAGCCCTGAACTCAACTCTATAGAAAATTTGTGGGCAGAGTTGAAAAAGCTTGTGCGAGCAAGACAGCCAACAAATCTGAATCAGTTACACCAATTCTGTCAGGAGGAATGTATGTAAACCTTTGATCCTAGAAATTAATAAAAAATTCTCCCCAAAAAGTTCTCTCATTATTCTGGCATTTAGCAAATGTAAATGATTTATGTAATCCTAACGGACCTAAAATAGTCAACGTTTAGTATGATTTACCATCAGACATTTTTTTAAAGGAAAAATTATGTTCCTTTTTTTAGAGTGTATGTAAACGTCTGGTTTCAACTGTTCATTATCAGATATTTATTTCCAGTGCAGGAAAAACAAGCATTCTGGAGGTCAATGATTACTGGTTTTCATCATTTTTCTAAATATCTTCTTTTGTGTTCAACGTAAAAGAAAGAAACTCGTCAATGTTTCTGACAAGTGAATGATGGCTAAACGATGACAGAATTTTGAGTTTTAGGTCAACTATCCCCCTCTAATGCTCATGTATCCCACAGACAGACAGAGTCCCGGGTCACTGATGTCAGGAGCCAGGAGTGGAAAGACTTTCCGATTTTTGCTGTTGGAAAAGGGAGGGTTGTTTTCCAGAGGAGTTTACACAAGTCCACAGTGTCCACTCAAAAGTCCTCCCACCTCCACCTCCAAACTCTCACTCGCTTTCTCTGTTCTTTCATTACAGCACAGCCTGTCCAGGAGCGTGAACCGAAGCAGGAGAAATGGGCATCAGCAGCAGCTTTAGCGGTTTATCTTCACTCGTCTTCATCTGCGCTCTGGCCTTCTGCATGGCTCTGGTGCACACAGGTAACATCACTTCCTGTTCGTCTCATCACTCAAGGCCTTCTCTTAAGTTTTATGAGCTCTTAGGAAAGTGTGTGATTGATTCTTGATTGCTTGTCCGTCATATTAAAGGCATGTTACACACAAAAATGGAGAGTTCTGTCATTGTTTACTCTCCCGTTATGAGTTTCTTTCTTTTGCTGAACACAAAGGAAGATATTTTGAAGAAGGCTGAAAACCTGTAACCATTCACTTTCATTGTAGGAAAAAAGTGATAGTATGGGAGTCAATGTTTACAGGTTTTTAGCATTTTTCTAAATATCTTCATTTGTGTTCAGTAGAATAAAGAAATGTGTAAAGGATTGGAAACGTGTGGGTGATTAAATGATAACCGGATTTTTCATTTTTGGGTGAACAATACCTTTAACCTCTTAAGGCCCAAGCTGTTTTTTACATGCATTTTTTTTCTCTTTGCTATTTGGGCTTATTGGAACCTAATTAGAATAAAACCCAAGTATCACCTTTTATATGATGTACTTTTAGAGAAAGATTATGTCCATAAACAGTTGAAGTCAGAATTATAAGCCCCCCTAAATTATAAGCCTCTCTGTTTATTCCCCCCCCCCCCCCCCCTCCCCCATTTCTGTTTAACGGAGAGCAGATATTTTCTGCACATTTCTAAACACAATAGTTTTAATAACTCATTTCTAATAACTGATTTATTTTATTTTTGCCATGATGACAGACTTTTAAATGCTCAACCAGGTTAATTAGGTTAACTAGGCAGGTTATGGTAATTAAGCAAGTTATTGTATAATGATAGTTTGTTCTGTAAACTATCGGTAAAATATAGCTTAATGGGGCTAATAATTTTACCTTAAAATAGGTATTCTAGCTGAAATAAAACAAATAAGACTTTCTCCAGAAGAAAATATATTATCAGACTTGCTGTGAAAATGTCCTTGCTCTGTTAAACATCATTTGGGAAATATTTAAAAAAAGAAAGCAAAAAAATCAAAGGGGGGCTAATAATTCTGTCTTCAACTGTATGTGGACTGGTGGTCCAAATTTACATAAAACACTTTTCCTGACTGTTTTTAATGCATAATGCATATATATATATATATATAATATATATAAATATATAATATATATATAAATTGAACATGTTTTGACTGTCAGAGAGTAAAAACTAAATATTTTGCCCATTTTGGACAGTTTAAAATAGTGTTTTGGACATTTCATATGCTGCAAAGATATGTTGCAGGATGACACTTTATGTCAGCAACAAAATATAAAACAAAGTATTTTAAATAGCCACTTAAGAGCTAAAATGTGTTGTCCCCATATGTGGCTACTAAGCCCTAGGAGGTTAAGGAATAAAGTGTTAAAGTAGCCGTGTTGAAAATCTAAAGAAGGGCTGTTGAATATATCCAAATTATGGGAATGTCGCAAATGTGCATACTGCAATATAGCTATGTACATTTTCAAAGTATTTCCTATTATATTTTATCTTCTGGAGAAAGTTGTTTCTTTTAGTTTGGCTTGATTAAAAGTGTTTTTAATTAAAAAGTAATAATAATAAAGTCATTTTTATCAGCCCCTTTAAGATTTTTTTTTGTCACTGATTAGCTACAGAACAAACCACTGTCATCCAGTGAGTTCCTACTGTTTTGACGTGTTTTTTGTTTTAGTATTTTTTGCTTTTCTGATTGTTCTAATGTTTTCAGGTTCATACTATACCAGTGAAGCTAAGCGCTCATCATATTTATTTATTAATTGTTTTGTTTTTTACAATGTTAAAATACACTCTCAGAAATAAAGGTACAAATTCTGTCACTGTGACATTTTTGTTCCTAACAGGTCCTTAAAGGGTACACATTATTGCCTAAAAAGTTCAAACGTGTGCTTCATAATAGCTTAAAGATACAGAATTGTAAAGGTACTAATGTCCACCTGTATGGTACAAAATTGTACCTCTTGAGCCAGTGACACATTTTGTATATTTATTTCTGATTGTGTATCTGTTTTGCTTGTTTGTTTGTTTGTTTGTTTGTTTGTTTGTTTGTTTGTTTTGCAACAGTAAAAGGACCGTTCACTTTAAGAAATTGTAGCGATGCTTTCTTTTGACAGAAATAATCTGAAACACGTGTTGGTTATTACATTTTTATTTATATTATTTGTCACTTACACAGTCTTACACAATACAATGTGCAGTGAAATGCTAATACAACCGGCCGTCACCTTAAAAAAAAAAAACAAACAAACTGAAATAATATCAATAATATTATGGAGTATAAAAATAAGTGTGGAGTTTGCATGTTCTTCCTGTGTTCGCGTGGGTTTCCTTCGGGTGCTCCGCTCCAAAGACATGTGGTACAGGTGAATTGAATAAGCTAAATTGGCCGTAGTTTATGTGAGTGTGTGCATAAGTGTGTAAGGATGATTCCCAGTGTTGGGTTGTGGCTGAAAGGGCATCCACTGCATAAAACATGTATTGGATAAGTTGGTGGTTCATTCCACTGTGGCGACCCCTGATTAATAAAGGGACTAAGCCGAAAAGAAAATAAATGAATGAATTAAATATTTAAAAGTTTAGATATAAAGAAATTTGGCTGTATAGAAAATAGTATACAATAATAAAATAATACAATATATTAAAAGAAAATCCTAGCTATACAAACTAAAGTAGAAGTGTTTCTAATAATGTGCATGGTGCATATGGAGGAAAGTGTATCCTACGGATGCATACGGTGGTTTATCAATCCCACTCACTTGCATGAGGCACATTTAGAACTACACAATATATGACCGGGGGCTGTGTAAATGTACATGAATGTGCATAAATGTTATTAATAATTGTAAATATTGTATCGAATATCACAAAAAAAGCATCAAATATGACATTATATAGCATTTTCGCAAAACCATTTTCTTCAATATCACACAATTCTAGTTTACAGGAAGCTTAAATCTGCATAATTGTGCAGACGTGTCGTTTCCGCCATGTTGACCATCATTGTATTGCAAGGCCCCTTTCAGGCTTCTCTGAGCATGAATGTGGGCTGTTCGAAATTTTCATTTTTGCATTTCCATGTGAAACACAAAGCTCATTATTGGGGAAAAATCATAGTTTTTATTTTAAAAAGCCAATTTCAACATACTACACATTAGACTGAATCAGTCCCAGAGTAAAGTCTTCACAGTGGTGTTTGTGCGCAGACTGAAGCGTCATGTGTGTCTGCAGTGACTCAGACTTCGTCTCGTTCACAGCCTGCTGTTGAAGCTCAGTTTAGTCTGGAGTTCAGTGTGTACAGGGACAAAGAGTTAGTTTGTTAGACATTGATGCATAAGACGAGCCTAAAACAAGCGTCACTCATTCATTTATTTATTTTCTTTTCGGGTTAGTCCCTTTATTAATCTGGGGTCGCCACAGCGGAATGAACCGCCAACTTATTCAGCATATGTTTTATGCAGCGGATGCCCTTCCAGCTGCAACCCATCACTGGGAAAACAAGTGTAACTGATTTCAGTAAACAGTGTATCTTTAATGACAAACCCTAAAAGAAGAGATGTCACAATGCGCTGCATAAAACATGCCGGAGTAGTTGGCGGTTCATTCCGCTGTGGCCACCACTGATAAATCAGAAACTAAGCTGAAGGAAAATGACTAAATGATGTGTTACAGAAAGATGTGAGCAACTGGTGATTTTATTATTTAATTTTTATTTGCAAAAAATCCTCAATATTGATTAATATGACGGAATTTTCTGTTTTGACGATTTCCAATTCATAACAGTTTGTGTGCTAATATTTTGCTGAATAACTTTCTTTTTTAACTCAAACATATTTGTATAAGAAGATTTTTTTTTTTTGCAACAAGTAAATGTTATTTTTCTTTTTACATTAAAAAATATGCATTTTAGCTCAGTGTTAATGTACATTTACAATACTTTATTACATTTTCTTGCAGTTTCCAAGTGAACATAGTTTTTCTTACAATATTGACTGTATTCTTTAATGCGGAAGTGCGCTCGTTTTTGTGATGGTTTTAAAACTTCCGATTTAGTTGCCTATGGGAGAAATGACTAGAAAAACAGACTGACGACTTGCTCTACAGACAAATGTGTCTATGACTATACATAAAAAGTTGAATATTATAATAAGAAAATATGAGTTTGCAACATCAAGCGGCAGAACGAGCTGTTTTTAACATCTAAAAAATGAGATTGGAAGTCTTGAGCCAAAAAATCCTGAGGGCTGGGCTCGCTTGTTTGTCAATAATAAGGTCAATCCTCAAGATTCACATATTTTTCTACCTTATTTTTTCAAAGTAGAAAGGCTGACATGGAGTTTCCCTGCAAAACATGATCGTCATCTTTCTTTTACTTTCTTTGAATTTTTTTTAGTGTCAAAGTGTTTAAATTCTAGATACAATTTACACCAATTACACTAATAAGTTTTAGTTTTAAAACGCATAAGTTTCGCAACGGTTATGCCATCCGTTCACATTACGCCAGAGATTTCGAGCGGCCAAAACAGCATTGTGGAAACGCTGAAGAGACTGTTTTCATTTTAAACCGCTGCTGCTCCGTGTTAGTGTGGATGGGGGAAAACGGAGACATCTGAAAACAGAGGCGGAACTGCAGACATTCGCCTCTCTGATTGGGGCTTTTTTCCCAAAATTAGGTAGCCTAACACACACAGTTCAGTCTCGCATACTCTCCTTGTAAGTTCAGACTTCGCAAGTTTGATATGGAAAACAAACTCTCGAGGACACATCGGGTAAATCTTCAAAGAGAACAGTGTGCTTTATAACCTCATTCCCATCACCCTGGCTGTGTTGTTTCACTTTCTTAACATTAAAATGAAAACATGATATGAGGAACTGCCTATTTTCATTTTGATATTAACTTACAGACAGCAGAAAATATTGAGGCGTCGTGTAGCTGCGTAGTTATATGAGCGTCATCTTCACTGTATGCATATTTATAACAAAATGGAGCCTATGATATTACAGCCTC